GAAAAAGTTGTACCGGTCGCGATACAAGGAAGGATTGAACAGTCCTAGCAATATGAGGGCGGGCATTGTCCTGTTGAAATACAACACCTGGCAAGGCTTGAAGGAAGGGAACAGTTTGGTGCTGTAGAACTTCACTGATGTACCGGTTGCTGTTCAGATTACCCACAATTCGTAGCAATTGAGATCGTCCATGATATGTTATGTCACCGCAGACCATAACTCCGGGTGTTCGTCCACTGTGGCGTTCGATAACGCACTCCGGAAGATGGCGTTCACCGGCATAGCGTCTGACACGAATGCGGCCATCATGGTACCACAAATTGAAGCGAGATTCGTCAGAAAACACGACACGCTGGCAATCAGCAAGCCAGTCCCTATGCTGGTTGGCCCATTGCAGCCACAGGCTGCGAAGGTTTAGTGGGAGGGGGATCCTGTATAAAGGAGTCCTTGCGCGCAGTCCACGCTGCAGCAGACGTCTACGAATTGATAAAGCACACAATGAAACACCTGCTGCTACTGACCACCGTGCTGCCAGTAGTCTAGAGGGAGCGGTACGGTCCGTTAGCTCAACGCCGAACAGGTGTCTATCATCGCGAGCTGACGTGACATTTCGGTGTTTACTCCCGCATTTCCGAGTTGTCCGACACTCGTCCATCCACTTCTTTCAAACACGCATCACTGTGCTGCTGTTACGCTGCACACGAGCGGCTACTGCACGACAAGACAATCCAGCTTAACGAAGGCCGATGATTCTCCCCCGTTTAAACTCCGTAATTTGTCGAAATCTCGCTCTCTTTCGTCGAATAGGCTTAAGTAATGACTAAGCTAACGTTTACCACTAGCAGATAACCACCGATAACCATACTCGCTTGGCTACAGCCGTCTATTTATTCGGATCCATCCGCCGTTCAGAGGGCGCTGCTCAGCATACGCATGCGCTACGGGTCTGAAATTCTAATCATTTGCATATCATGCTCTACTTTGCATTTCCTGAAAATTTCAGCTCACTCGCGTAAGTCCTTTATGGTGTTGCAATTTTCACAAACATGAGTTTATATACCGAATTTATAAATTCCAAATTGTATCACAATGAGTATATCTCCCCATGTTTGACCTCTTGAATCCACGCTATGCTTTACTGTTACAAATAAAGTATTTCATCGATATATTTTTTTATATTGTATTTTCTTATGTTATCAACTGGTAACGGCATAAATTGTTGGTCCCATTGACATTTAGACTAAATGTAATTGGTGAAAAGCATACTTCACAATGTCTTATAATATGGATCCAATTGTGTTTACGTCAAAGAGCACTTCTATCTGCAGGTGTGGGAGTACTGGTAGAGTTTATTTGAGCGAAAGGGGAAGACCAAAAGAAAGCACTTATATTTCGATCACTTTCTTCTTTCCAACCGCTGAATTTAATCTTCCCGCTAACTGGTGCTGGTTAAATAATAATACATTTCAGAGTTAAGATTTTAATCTTCTGTCATAAATAAAATCGAGAAGAACTTCATCATGGCAGAAGGCGACTATTTATTCATTTATTATTCGACTTTCCAGGTTTGTTTTCGGGATATTTAGTTGTTCTGAATTTCGTTTTTGCATAAGAATGAGCAACACTCTTGTGATTACGCTAAATAATGGCAACATGCTTGTTCTTAAAGTTGAGAAGTACAGAGAAGTTAATAATAGTACGAGTAACTTAGTCAACATTAAAATAAAGCAACAATTTAGAAATAGGAAAATTTCGTAAGCACACCTTTACATCTCTCTATTATTGGAGTCAAACTCAGTATTCAGTTGGAAACTTGTATTTAATAGGCAATATATTTTTAACCGATCGTACTTTTTGGTAAAATTATTTATCATACTTATCAGTAATATACTTTTTAATGTATAAGCACTTACAGCATATTACACAGTGATCTGACAGTGTCTTCTCTTTAATGCATTAAATTTGGTGTAATGTGTCTTTAAGGGAATATAAACATTTTAATTTGAAATAACAAATTAGTGCTTTGATGCATAGTGCACCAAAAAGCAGAACCGCCCCTATAGTAAAATAATTTTTTGGAATTAAAAGAAATAATAACTAAAATAATAATAATAATTATATTAAAAATAAGTTGAAAGATAATGTAAACAAAGAAAAAAGCAGAAATCAATGCAAGCGAATTTTCTAGCGGTATAAGTTGAAACAACCTCTTTAAATACTGATCATTCAGAACACGAATCACGGTCGAGAATGAAATCAATTTTAGCTGTTCAAATATGAGTTTACATTAGTTTTAATTGTAATTGGGAACTCGAGAAGAAGTGAAGCGATCATGCCTAACCATGTGATTTAAATCAGATTTAATTGGATAGCTGAAAGCAGCGTCACGCATGTGTGTGGTATCTGATTGGTTTCTGAAACGAAAAATGCCACCACAAAAGAAATGATACGATGACGTCACTTGAAGGTATCCAATTGGGTATACTATAGCCTACGTCACTATTCCTACTAAATTTAACCCATGAACGGCATTTTCTGCGAGCCTATCTTCAAGCCGCAAATAAACAAACGAAGTATTTGATCGTTTAAATAGCTGCTCGCCAGATTTTATTGCATTATAAAGAAAAGTAATTGATATTCGATTTTTGATTAATAATTGATTTATGTGGATAGTGGCATAGAATTTAGCATTGCGTCATGGTAAATGTTATTCCTACTAAGTGGAAGTAGTTGTGTTTTTTTTATATTATACCCAGTTGTGTTTTTTCAGTATTTATGCAGCATTGTAAATAATGATCGTTATTTTTAAATTCGAATTAATACTATGCAATTATCATAAATTAAGTTTATAAAAAGAATTTAAAACTAAATTTTCATAAATTTTCTGATATAGAAAATTTTTTTTAAATGCATTGNTATGTGGATAGTGGCATAGAATTTAGCATTGCGTCATTGTAAATGTTATTCCTACTAAGTGGAAGTAGTTGTGTTTTTTTTATATTATACCCAATTGTGTTTTTTCAGTATTTATGCAGCATTGTAAATGAAGATCGTTTTTTTTAAAATTCGAATTAATACTATATAATTGTCATAAATTAAGCTTTTAAAAAGAATTTAAAACTAAATATTCTGATATATGAAATTTTTTTTAAATGCATTGTCGATTTTTAATGAAAACGTCTTCTAAAAAAGGTACTTTTTCTGTGTGGAGTGGTGGAAAAAAAGAAAGCTTTGTAACAACGTTTTATGTATACTGTTAAATAAAAATTAATAATTATTTAATGTTATACGCTGGTAAAAAGAAAAACATTGAGGCTTGCACACATTTTATTGCCGATTCTACATCCTAAATGAATTTTAGGAATACACTAGATTATTAGTATAAATAGTTTAATTTTTGAGTATTGGAAAATAATTTCAAACTCCATCAGGAGATCATTTTCATGTCCATCATGTATTTATGAATTTTGCAGACATACATGATGTATAATATTTATCTCTAAAATATTTGTCTATAAAAATGTAATGGTTGTATTTTTTCAATTAATTTTTTTACATAAATGCAAAAAATAAACAAATAAATAAAAAGAACTCTAAATCATAACTTTTTAATAATATCTAACTTGATAATAAAAACTATTAAAAATATTACGTTAGGCATGAAAGTATTCTTACATAATGCTACTTAAAGTCTATTATAATATTTGTAGGTAAAAAAAAAACTACTTTATGTTAATTATGTTATTGAGTAGAAATAATTCTTAACATACGTAAAAAAATAATTACAAAAAAAAAGGTTAAACGTATTTTAAATGGATGAGTTTTAGTAACAGTTATATGACTATTTTATGGGTAACAACAACCTCATTTATTCCTTAATTGTCTTAGGTTAAATTTTTTGTGTGGAATGCTTATATAAAAATGACCATGTTAAAAAAATATATATACATGCTTTAAAAAATATCGTTTAACTACTCCAAACTTGTATGTTTAATTACACCTCATTAAAAAATACCCTTACACTATGAATTATTAAAAATAATTTTAATTTTGTAAAACTCGTTACTCGCTTTGATTAAACGTAACTTGAAATGGTTTTAAGAAAAACGTATTTTTAGACAGATAATAAAAACTAACAATTTATTGCGTGCAATGCATGTACAAACATTACCATGTAAATTAAAAAAAAGTATAATTTAGAAAAATGATGTTTAATTGATACATATTTGCATGTTTATTTTCAAGTAATAAAAAAGGACCCTTGTACTATGCATTATTGAAAATAATTTTAATTTTAAAAAAACTTGGTTACAAATAAGGTTTATATCAAACGTAACCTGAAATGGTTTCCAAAAAATGCATGTTTAAACAGATAAAAAAAAGTAACAATTTATTGCGTCGAATGCATATACAAAAATGACCATGGTAATAAAAAAAAAGTATATATTTTGAAAAATGACGTTTAATTGATACACATTTAATGACACCTCGTTAAAAAAAGACCCTTGCACTACAAATTATTAAAAATAATTTTAAAAACAAAAGGAACTTAGTTACGAATAAGGTTTAGATCAAATGAAACTTGAAAAGGTTTCAGAGAATACATGTTTAGACACATTCAAAAAAAAAAAANAAAAAAAAAAAAAAAAAAAAAAAAAAAAAAAAAAAAAAAAAAACTTAGAATTAAAAATTCACTAGTAAGGTCTAGAAAAAATATGACATGATTTTAATGTTTATAATTTCTAATGCAAATAATTTTTTGAAGTAAAAACCATTTTTGCTCATAATTTCTTTTTTAAAATGTAAAAGTGATTTAAAGAATATGTTTTATACAAGAGACATATTTTTTTAATGACATTTAATAATTTTCATTAACCCCTTCAGGACCGTGATTGGATGGTTGACGGTATAAAGCTAAGCACAGATGGCTCTCATTCGCTAATTAAAATTCGGCATAAGACTTCCGGGCTACTTCTTCCGATTGTTTTTTATGCATAAGCTTGGAAAAGCACGCCATTTAACATTATTATACTTCACACTATTATGCGTTTTTTTTCAATTTAACTTTCGATGAAACAAATGTATTGGGAAGACCTCGCAAGCACAGTTTGATACTACTCAAAAAATAACAACCGGCGATATTTTACACAATTATAGCAAAATAATTATACTAAAAACATAGCACACTTCTTTAATGTTGTGATGTTAATTTTTGTTATTTTATATTTGTTTTCAATTCACAACCTGTTATAAATTTCAGATAACTCCTATGAATAGTAAAGTTTCGTTTAAATTTGATAAAAAAAATATCAATAATAAAACTTCTGGAATATTAAGCCTGTTCACACATCGCCTTATAAGCATACCATAAGAGGAGGGATACACCGGAAGTTTTCTATATTTCTTCCGGTTTTAAGGCCTGTTTAGACGATCCAAGTTCTTGGATGCATTGAAATAGATGGAAACTTGTTTTGCTTTGAGCTTGTATCGTGTAAACGCTCTACTATCTTCCAAGGACTTGGATGAACATGTTCTACTTTACATCCGAGTTTTTCCTCCCTGAACCAATCAGCTTCTTACGTTTCGTGACGTCAACAAGCAGGCATCAGATTATGTCATTTTGTTGTCTGTTTTCATCTACTTTAGTCTAAATAAATTAATCTGTTAGGGTCTTTTTATGTTATTATGATTTTATTTGAATTTATTTAGTAGTTTTTAAAGTCATGTAAGTATGGTTTTATAATGTTGAATATGAACAATGCGCATGCGGAAGTTTTTTTTCCGACCCATCAGTCAAGAACTTGGCTAGTGTCGACGAATCATCCAATTTTTTGAAGAGCGAAGTTCCTCCAATTTTTTGGATTCAAGAACTTGGACCGTGTAAACAGGCCTTTAGGAAGTTTGTTATTGTTTACATTCAGTTAACCATCCACGCGAAACGAGTCTTTTTTGACTCTAGCTGTTCAAGATCGCGCAGAAGTGACTGCAATACTGTTACATTTCGTATGAATCGGTATGTGTACTCTTCAGTACGCATACTCTCGGAAAGTGCAGGAGAAGCTTTTATGTTCCTCACCGGTTCTGAAGGGATTAATCTTTATTTCAATAAATTTTATTTTGCATGAAGTGCTTTGAACATGATTAGTTCTCACCAAAATAAATAGAAGCATATACTTGCCATCATTATTATTCTACATTTGGAGCTTTAGATTTGAACTGATTGAGAGCTGAGAAATGAATAGACATCACAGTGTTTAACTATTTTTAAAATATTATTTTTCTAAGCTAAAACCAAACATCTTTAAAAAAATCTATAGAAATATAAAAGATTATCTTTTTTTAAAAAAAAAATAAAAGCATTATTGATTTTCCCTGAAAAAATAATGGAGTTAAAATGAAATATTTATGATGAATGTCCATCAATGCTGATATTTTTTTTTTGTTGTTAATGAGGAACATGGCTGCTGGATGTCTTTTTCTTTTTAAAAAAGTAATTTTTGTAGGCGACACAATTTATCATGCCAATAGATATAGATCTAGAATTGATAATTCGCTAAGCACTATCGCGACAGTACGTTGTGGGCCAGAAGGATCATGTAAGTTAAAGCTCCACACATTATGGTTCCTCGTGATGGTTGCACCGCTTCCTCTTTCTAGACTTGAATTCTCATCACCTCTGGAAAATAGAATCCCAGTTTTTCGCTTTAACCGAGTCGTCGTGCCTCAACGGAAAACATCCATCTGTATCAAAGAACTAAAACATGAAATAAAATTTACTTGTAGTCCGTTTAAATCACTTGCGATTTATTTCTGAAAAAGAGGCCTCTTTTTCTTTTTTAAACCACCGCTTGGACGCCTTTTTAATAATCGTTTTAAGAATATATTCATTCTTTTTAACATCGTGATAACAGAAGAACACAATTGTTTGAAGGAAAAGAGTTAAAAGGTTTCTGGTTCGGTCTTGAATCCCTGAGTGACAATGGAGGAGGAAGAGTAGGTGTCAGGGGTGGCTGTGTGATTGTTGTTTTCAGTGTGTCCGTTCGTCATGGGATCTGTTGATTGAGTGTTCGAATCGCTTAGAGCGTTCGATGTGGCAGCCGCTGATTCGTTTGAAGCACCTAAAGAAGAAATAAAAATTTTAGGTGTTTATTTTAATTTAGTTGGCGTCATTTCTTGACACTCTTCCATCAACAACGAAACACACAGTTGGAGAGATCGGAATAACATAGCAACTAATAATTAGTGTCAATGTGTTTTTAAAAATTGATATTCAATTTTAATTGAATTATCGTCTACAGTGTTTTACAATTTGGGGAACTTCTCATGGGGAGCTCTTGATCCTAACATGATCCTAATCAAATTTAGAATTTCATTCATTTCATCACGATACAAATATCTTATGAAGGTAATGAATGGAAGGTAACTCATATTTTTTTAAATAGCTATAAGAATGTTCAAAGAGTAATAAAAAATATTTTAAACTATAGCAAAGTAATAAAAAGTTTTTAAAAAAATGACTTGCTTGTGATTGTTTCCTACAACAAAGTATTGTTTCGTCTGGAATAATTGTTGAACTCATACATTTAGTTTGGTTCGGTAGAACGGGGTACTAGCTTTTGAAACGCACTATAAAGTCGGACAAAACTTAATTATTCCGCTTTTTTTTATAGGTAGGGAGAGTATAAAGTGCTTCGGAATTAAATCTAATTATAACTGAAAAAGGAATTAAAAAAAACGCTTTGTTAGAGAGCTAGCGAATAGTGATCATTTATGGAATCCCTGTTCAAAGGTTCCACGGGAATCCAAGTTGAAGACACATCGCCGAGAGGACCGGGATAGCCTGGTTGGTAGGGTGTGGTACTCGTGTTTGTGAGAACGGGAGCCCAGCCGACCTAAGAATCCCCGTGTATTAAATGGTGACTGCTGTACGTTAAATATGTTGGGGTCACAAAGTCCTCCAATTTTCCATTACAAATCAATACCTCTGGGGGTGCTGATCCAGGAGCTCTCTTGTCTTCCGGATTGGGATCAAAATTACGAGGTTACGGAGTTTAACATTGGTTGTCGTAAACCCAGAATTGAGTCGGTTGTTCAACGACGGTTACTAAATAATAAAAAAAAAACATCGTCAGGGGAATGTTTTTAAAAGATTTTTCATAATTTGCCAACTATTCAAGTGATTTTTAAATATTTTAGCACTTATTCGTTCCATGCTGGCAATTTTTTATGTTTATTGCAACAATTTACACTAAAGAAATCTATCTGATGTCATTTATATTAAAGAAGTGTGCACAGTGTATCTACCACTACAAAATTCCAATTCACTAGTATATAAGGCATGTTAACTCGATTCTAGGGTGGGGTACCTTTTCATAGATGACAGGGTCGATAGCATACATGGCAGTACTTTTACTTTCGTTACTTGTACCGGCGGTACAAGTAAAAAGTACGTACTTTTACTTGTACTTCGTTACTTTTTAAATTTAGTACTTTTACTTGTACTTTCGTTACTTTTTTAGGGAAAAAGTACAAGTANNCATTTTGGGATTAAAAATGTTTACAAATAACTCAAAAAGGCAGTAGCCATTTCATACATTTAATAATTTCACCATTATTTACATTGACGTTGTATGCGTGCAGCCTTTCCATACGCAGTAAATTATGTTAGAACTCACGCCGGAAGAAAAATCCGCTCGTTGGAACTTAAAATGCGTAGTAAGCCTCATGTGAAGTACAATTCACCTATATTAGATTCCATATGTCTGCTCCTCGAGAAAGACAAATACTAGTTGGAGCTAATCTACGGCTATTCTATAAGGGACTTTCGCTTTCAACATTTTATCAATTGAAGCTATTAATGCTAACTATTTTAATTAATTTATGTTTTGTAGAACAAAAATAGAGAAAGTTAAAATTCTGTCCGCGGGCAGGATAAAATCTTCCGGCGGGCCACAGTTGGCCCGCGGGCCGTAGTTTGCCCATCACTGTTGTAGTTTATTGCAATAATTTACACTAAAGTAATCGATCTGATGTCATTTATATTAAAGAAGTGTGCACAGTGTATCTACCACTACAAAATTCCAATTCACTAGTTTATAAGGCATGTTAATTCGATTCTATGGTGGAGTACCTTTTCATAGATGACAGGGTCAATAGCTACCCTCTCCACACAGTGTTTATAGTTAAAGATAATAAGAATAAGCAGTTTAGTTTAAACAAAAATATTGTCATGAGTATTTACCGCCCAGTAGCATCTCTTGTAGAAGGTTGTCTATTTTAGCCATTCCAAAGAGTTTGGCGAACTGTATCTGTTCTATCATCTGCCACGTAATGCTCTGTAGGGCTGGCAGTAGGAGTAGAATCTCACCAAATCTACCACGAGATTCGTATTGCCTGTCGTTGATGTAATCCTCCAAGCTCGTCTGAATCTGATCCCTCAGAACTTTTATACGACTGCTGTCAGACAGTCCTTTAGCATCTGCGTCAACAAAAAACATATCAATAACTCATCATGCAACAGGGTTTTTTTTCCTATCACCAAAATATTTTGAAAATTCCGCTTATAAAAAGTTAAAAAAATGTATTTTATTTGCAATATGGTGGAACAGAATAAAATTCATGGGAAAAAAGTTAAACATTTGGTTATCTTTTTGACTGAAAGTAGTCTTAAAAATATTTGATTTTAAAAGATTATAAGAGGAATAAATTACTCAAACAAAAATTTTTTTAATACATAGTTAGAACGCTCAGTCCAGATGCTTCTCAATACTTTATTTTTCTTAAAATTCAATATCTTCCACAAAAATAAGAAATATTCCGTTTATAATTATTATAGTTTTATGTAAGAAGATTTTGTTAATATGTTAATCGACATAAAATGACAATTACCTGAATTTTAAAAATTATCAAATAAAAATGAAAATTAATACAGATTGCTTGACTCAATGAAATAAATAAATGAGAAGTAATTTTAATCATTAACGAGTCTTGTATCATTATATTAGTTCTGAGCAAAATTAAGAATTTTTAAATTCTCAATATAAATGTTTACAGGGACGGAATAAGCATACGTGCCATTTAAATTTTTGGGGCGCTTAGATTAAATTTTTTTCTCGAATATTTTTTATTTATTCAAATATAGAAGTATTTATTTATCTTCTCATTTAAGAAAACATATTTAAAATTCAAATAAATAATAATAAATTAAATTTTACTTTCTTTTATTAAATTAAAACTAAAAAATAATCATAACATTTTGAAAAAATTTGAAAAATCATTGTTTTTCCTAATTTTTCTCAATTTATTTTAAAAAAATCAATTTTTAGGGGGCCCCTTATAATTGGGGGCCCCAGGCCATGGCCTAGTGGGTAATCCGGTCCTGAATGTTTATATCTGGCTGCAACTTCTTCAATGTTTTAAAATATATAACTTTAAAGCCTCTCAATTAGATTTTTGAAATTGTAAATTAAATTAACTTAAAAGAACTCTCTTCACCAAAATTTATCTAGCACTGGGTAACCGTCACCGTTTTCACCCGACACCTACTTATGCATAAGCAATAAAAATATTAACAAATGTGTTTCATTTCATCACCGTCATTGAACAGTTGACCACTAATATGCAACTCCGTAGGCTTTTTTTTTTTTAATAACCGTCGTTGAACAGTAGACTCAATTTGTTAGGTTTACCATTACCAATATTCAACTCTGTATCCTTGTAATTTTGAACCCAATCCAGAAGACAAGGGAAGTCTAGAATCAGGATGATTCCTTCGTGGATGATATTTCGATAGAACTAACCTCATTTGCTTCACACGGAGAGGAAAACTACTAAATTCTCTAACGATTAGCCTGACTGCAAGAGGACTCTAATCCATGATCCATCTACCAATGAGGATATTTTTCGTCATCACTGTGGTCGGTGCGAGACGGGTGCGGGATTTGTATCGACTAGCCATCGAAGATCATTGGGAGGCGAGCGCGTCTATCCCCTGAGCCACCATGTCACATAAGTTACAAGCATTCAGAATTCTATACTGTTTGAGACAAATATAGCTCAGGATTACATCCTCCCTGCATAAAATCTCGCCATGGAAATTGTTCCTCATCATTCATTATATTTTGGGTGAAATGAGAATGAATTAGTTAAAGAATCGAAACATGTCATTAAAACTCCTGTGAAGAACAGATCCAGCAATGTCATGTATCACAGGGGTCCTACAAAAAACGGTCCAACAATAAGTTTAATTAACCTTTTCACTTTAATTTTAAGCAAGACTTAACCCTTCCCCCCCATAGGGGGCATACAGGTAAGCACTTAATTTTACTAAGCAATTAATTTAGGTCACTTTAATTTTAAGCTAGGCTTTAACCCTGTCCCGCCCCCGTAGGGGGCATCCAGGTAGTACTTGGTGACTATCGTTACTGCAATCCTCGAATCAGTCGGAGGACCCAGAGGTGCATGGACACGAGGTTCCATGGCCCCGAGTCACGCCCGACGAAGAGCAACACAAACGTTCGATGGACAGAGGAGGCCGAAAGGAACAATCCCGAGTCGGGTGCGGCGGTGCCATACTCAGCTGCAGACGACTCACCAGTAGTGTGGCACTGAGAGACCGCCGCCACTCCACGACGCATCGAGGCATACTCTGACTTGAAGATTCCGAAACCATTTTGAACATTTATTAAAAATTACAATCGAAATAATGACCGACAACCTGTCAGTCTTACAAATAAAATGAAATAAAATGAAAATTACAGTTTGAAATACAATTTGAAAGCACCCGAAAAGGGCGGAGGATGCCATAGTCAGCTCACAAAAATTCACTTTAATTTTAGAAATAACACCACAGTTATTTTTCAAGTTATTAAATAGATTGTTTACAGGTAGTCAAAATCCAAAAATAAAAGACTCGCAGCTCTCGTACCTTTATTTTAATGGACCCCTGTTCTTGTAAGGCTAATCCCGCTGCAAAGCACCTGTAAACCAGGATAATCTCTTATTTATTAAAATATGCTTATGTTATGTGTCGGTTGACCAAAACAAACGCAAGAGTGGTGGAAATGCGTGGTTTGTTACATTCTTTAAGGTATTATTCTCACACAATTTCAAAATTAATAATAAAATTCGTCACGGCTGACTGGATTTATTCAATATTCTTGAAAGCATGTCGGATCCATCTAATTAAAATAAGTCCCCCTGTAAACTGATCTTAAAGACAAGTTAAGTATTGCTGATTGTTGTCAGTGAGCGGGCGGGTCATCATCTTGCAAAGTGACACTGGGCCCATGTCCAAGAATTCGTGAGTTCGATCTCCGCAGGCCGTTACTAATGCACGTTAAATCTGTCGAGTCGCAAAGTTCTTCATGTTCCCATAACAAAACAACACCTCTGGGTGTACTGATCCAGGAGTTTTCTTGTCTTCTGGATTGGGTTCAAAAAGACAAGGAGTTGAATATTAGTAGTCGTGAACCCAAAATTGGGTCGGCTGTTCAACGACGGTTGTAATATAAAAGAAAAAAAGATTATTCCTAGAACGCCGCCGATAACCATTGCGAAGCTCTAGAGTGACGTAAATAATGTACTACTGCTACACACATTAAAATATTTGCGCAGGTGGCTTGTTTATGATATCCATGGACTGTATTATGATGTCGCTATTAATAAAGATAGTTAGTTTGAAAATATTGTTTTATAGTTTTTTCTTCCATTTGCAGCTCTATTTATTGAACTCATTTTAAAACTTTTGGAGAAGAAAATATCTCATTTTTTGGGGGGCAGATAGTAGCAAACCACNGTGTTTTGAACATAAAAAAAACTCCCGTTCAGATATGAAATGATAGAGGGGAAATGAATAAGGGGGGGTCGTACCAGAGAAGAAACTGTGTTGACACAGAAAATCTGAAGCTTACATGGATCAAAAAACACAATGGCTTTGAGACAAGCGAACTCCGTGTCGTCTACATGAGCCTCCCGTAGAGTGGTGGTCAGCTCGTCCATTATCCGACAACCAATCCGGCTGATTTCTATCTCTGTGGATTGTCGAGGTATAACGAAGTCATTTCCCAGGAGGAGAGTGTCGTTCAAGTGCATGGACCGTCTGGCCAATCCCAGCAGCAAATGCTCACCTGCGTGTGCTCTCAGAAGAGCCACCTACAAATAAAAAGTTTGCATTAAAATAAGAAAAATAATCCTGTCTCAATCCAGTGGATTGTGTCAAGCTAAGCACAGATGGCGCTAGGGATTAAAATTCGTCGTAAGTTTTCCGGGTTACGACTTGTGGGGAGAGTCGTTATCGACAATGTCAATCTTCCCCACCATAGAATCGTGTTAACATGTCTTATATGCAGGTGAATTGCATTTTTGTAGTGGTAGACACACTACGGTACTTCCGATTGATTTTCACGCCTTAACTTGAAAAAGCACGCCATCCAATATTATTACACTAATAATGTTTACAATATAAGCAGAGCCGGATTATACCTTTCGTAGGCCATAGGCATAGCCGTTTTTGGGCCCTCCCCTCCTTCCCCCACTCCTCCCCTCTTTTCAAAATATATGCTAAAATTTTCTTGCATATTTTTTTAAACATTTTTATTAATATGGATTTTAATTTACAAATTTGTTTATCGAACTTTATCTGCAATACCGACATACTGCAGAAGGAGAAAGATCTTTCTCCAGATTAAAATTGATAAAAAATTATTTGCTATCAACAATGAATCAAGATCGTTTGGCATCTCTCGCACTTATGTCTATTGAATACGACATTTTGCGTAGTTTGGAATTCGACAGCATAATACAAGATTTCGTTGAATCCAAAAATCGCAAAAAAGTAATATATTAGATCATAAGATTCTGCAAAATATATTAAAAAAAAGGTTTGTTATATTTTTATTTGTATCTTCATAATTTTGTGCAAAATACACTTGTTGTTTTTAAAGCTAAATTATTTATGTCAGCAAATTTTTTCTCCCAAGTTTTTCGTAGGCCCCTGAATTTCGTAGGCCCTAGGCACGTGCCTAGTGTGCTTATAGGTTAATCAGGCCCTGAATATAAGGCATTCTTTTTATTTACATTTCAACGAAACAAGCAAACGAATGAATTCGGAAGAATTCGCAAGCATGCTACGATACAACATAAAAAATATCAAACGGTTATAATTTTAAGCAAATATAGCCAAATAAGGGATAGCACTTAAAACATGGCAAACCTTGCACTTTATGTTTTGTAAAAAGACATTTGTCTTAGGTTCACTACCAGTTAGAATTTGTAAATTACGGGAAACTCTTATGAATAGTAAAAATTCCCAGAATATGAAGCCTGTTCCCAGATGGTCTCGTAAGGATGGCATAAGCGGAGGTTTTCTAAATTTCTTCCGGTTCTTGCTATTGTTTACGTGCAGTCAACCATCTATATTTTGTCCACAACTATTTATTCATTAACCTCTTCGAGTTATATATGCATTCTCAGGGTGGCAACCATCACGCTTAAAAAGATAAAACTAACCATACTATTTTTATAGCGGAGGGCTGTGTAATAATAGTTTTCCTTAATTCACCAAGACTTAGTTCAAATTAAAAATTATATAGCGACACCATTAACAAACATAGTTTGGATGTATTAGATTTAAACCGAAAACAAAAAGAAGGTCTCGTCGAATTAGCCGTGCCCAAACATCGCTTTTCATTTTATTCCATCCTGTTTCTGATTCCATACGAATATATTTATGTCTCGCCCGTCCCGAAAATATTAAATACCCTGAATGTTTCGTAACAAAGAAACACTCTCACAAACTAGAGATCTCTTCAGCGTTTTGCAATCTCCCGTCAGTCTTGTTGCTAAATTCGAATTTATTATCATGGTGGGTGAGATGATAGAATGCTCCCTTCATATATATGTCACGGACAATGTAAATAATTGGGCATTGTTTATAATACCCGGGCAATTTAAAAAGTGCCCAAAAGGATATGACAAAATGATAAATTATGTTGCAATTATTACATTGCCCGGTCATTATGTATTATGCTAAAAGTCAAGTGGGCAATTTGTGTCACACACAGCCACAGGCTATCTTGGGATATTCATCCACTTTTAGATGCACCTGCATAATTTTTTTTTAATTTTTTCCTGCACATGCGCTGTATGAAGCAACTACTTCAATTACTCTTATCTGGCGCAGTTTTTATTAATTTTTTTTAATTTTAAAGCAATAATTTCGGTATCAGCTTAAAATTGATTCAAACGCTTTGTTTAATTTTTTTAAATATTTAAGCTACAGCAAAAATGGCACTAGACCTAGTATATATTTCGGACATTTACCAAAGGTCTAGTCATACTAAGTCTGGTTAAGTGCCATTGCCCGGTATATCCTACACTGATGTTTTTTTAAGGTCAAGTGCCACTGCTCGGTATACATTTGCCCGGTGTACCCTACACTGATGTTTTTTTAAGGTCAAGTGCCACTGCCCGGTATACCCTACACTGATGTTTTTTAAGGTTAAGTGCCACTGCTCGGCAT